GTATCCTTCTCCTAATTCATATTGACAAATTATCCTAGTTTTTAGTTCATTAGGGAGTTCTTTTGAGGTTCCCATGTTGCTACTTTCCAGTAGAGAATCAAGGAGAAGCACAACTAGCAATTAGCTACCTTAAATATCATTTCCCATGATGGGTTGCACCTTAGTTTGCAGTGTTAAGGTTCACTGAGCCAATCAAATCAATATTGTGTTGTAATTAATCAGCAATAAGAGACTACAGGTATTAAAATCAACACAATTGAAAGGGTGCCCAAACTTTTGCACAGCCTATTTTTCACATTTGACTTTATTTCATACAACACAGTACTGCTACACTAAGAATTTCTGTCTGAAAAACATCACATTATGCAGCTTTCTCTAGAAACTGAATGGCATATCACTATAATATTTTCTTATAAAGAAAGAGCTAATTATTTTGCAGCCTAAGAGGGGTGCCCAAACTTTTGCATAAAACTGTATCTATGGAGATGTTCATACTGGCAGCAGACACGTCAGTCATTTTTGGCACACTTGCTTAATGGGAGATACTCAAATATGGCCATGTCACATCTTGCTCAGTCTGCAATCCAAGCGAACCTACAGCAGATATGAAAATGTTAGTGTGGCAAAGGTACCTTTAATAAAGAAATAAAAGATACCAGCCCTACTGTATAGTAATTACTTGATACAAGTGAATTAAGGTAAATACAAACCTTCACATCAGGAAGTTTTCTTTTAGGACAGTAGACAAAATGACAAAAAATGATTGTGTATAAACTGCAAACCGGCAATGCTTTGATCCATCAGGCAGGAAAATTTTGTGAGGAGGTGTATCATTTCTATTGTCAGTTACACTTAACCCAGCAGTGGGTTATGCTGAAATACCCAACAATATGAAAACAAAACAATGACCCAAAAGGCTAAACCCAGTGACTTCAATGAAGAAAAATTACATTAAAATGATATGGCTCATCCACAGAATTGCTGATTATGAAAATTGTTTGTAGCACTATATTGAGGTGTATTTCTGTCTTCACAGATGCCTTTTCAAGATAAATCCGGACAGGGGGACCAAGGTGGAGAAGAAAAAATCTAAAAAAACAGCAGTCTGTTAATAACCAAGGTTCTTTCATTGATTACAAACATTGCAAACTTTGAATGGAGAGAGTAGAAAATAAAGTATCTTGCATTGCCAGCATCTTCTCTTTCATACACAGTTTAAGTGTGTTCCAATTTCTTTGTATACCATTCTGTAATGTTTAAACTGTTCATTCTGCTGATATTATTTCTTGGGAGGGTAAGTGGGCGAGCAGTATCCTGGGTAGTGTTTTAATGTTTCATTTTAATATGTTTATTTTTTGTTTTGTAATGCATATTGTGTAGAATGGCTCTAAAAAGCTGTAATTCCCACAGTAAAAACTGTTTATGGAAAAATTGGTTAGTGTTAAAAAATTAACCAGTGGCTAACAATGTTGCTAAGCTAACGATGTTGTTGTTAAATGCTGACCAAATGTGTTATTTGCAAATAAAAAAAAATAAATAAAAGAAAAGATAATAATAATGGTTTTGTATTTTTATTAATGGAAATCTTTTTGCAGTTTAACCTACATATACAAAAAATATTTTACTTTTACAGTTATTTGATGTATATAAACAATATTATAGTTTATATCTACACTTAGATTTACGGTGTTTTTTTATAATAACAACAGTAATTATCTGTACTTAAGCTTTTTTTTTATCATTCTTTAAAGATAATTATTGTATTTTAAAGGTGTATTACTGTATTCTGACAATTGTTATTTGTTAAAAGTGAAAGACTTCATGCAATTATAAAAAGATTTAATGTATAATTACAGTAATAACCTGTAATTATGGAATAAGAAATTTCTGTATTTTTAAGGTTTATCTAAACATTTTTTCTGAGTTTTTTTCTGTTTTTTAACACATTTTCTGGCGCCCCTGCTGCCAGAAAATTACCGTTTTTTTACGATTTTTTTTTTTTTTTTACTGTGCAACATAAGAAAACATTTCTGGAATCTGCATCTGAAATAGCATTTAGATGTATTTACACAGTTTAATGTATCTCAGAGGGGACGTGCATTTAACAGTTATAGATGGATAAATGTTTTGTTTTTAACAAAAACGTTGAATACTGATAGTGATATTTGAAATGATTTAAAACATGAAAAAAAACGTCGAAATGTGAAATTAAAACAGCCAGTAGGTGAAAGCAAGTGACTGTTAATGAGTGAGTCATTGAGATTCAACCGATTAATTCAAACGGCTGATTCATTCAGGAACAACGTATTTGACTGTGTTAATGAGTGAATCACTGAATAATTTATTCATCCGATTCGTTACAAAAGCTGATTCATTCAATAAGTAAACACCGTCCATTGCTCAGAGACACAAAACAGTGCTCTGATCTTTGTTTGGACCTATTTTCATTGGCAAAATTGAGCAAAAACAGGCAATATGATGTCTAAAATGTAAGTCACTTATTGCTTTACTGAACTTGTATAAAATGATTATTACATTTGTTATCATACTGATATTTGCAGAAAAATGTTACTCTTTGTGTGATATAGATTAACTATATTAAATTATATAAATATAAAAAACATACAGAAGCATTTTTGCCATCTACAATTTAGAATGCCTCGAATTTTGAGTTTTAATAGACTAATAAATCACGTGCGTGCACTCTCTGTATGTGATTTGGTGATATACTTGATAATGTCAGATCACACATCATTACAACAACACTTGCCATATTATCACAGATATACAGTATATCGCACACGCAGCCTCGACTTGAGTGGAAAATGAAATAATCCGCGGTTGTGTGCGCACTTGTTTGCACATGAGCAAAGGTGTTTTTTAGGAGTCAAACTTGCAGACACCAGACCA